TGAAGGTAGGAGAAAGGGGATGGTAAGGTGGATTGAGTGGTTACGCGGCGTGGCTGCGTGGGGGAAGGGAGAGGGGTGATGGACGAGAAGGAGGAGGGACCGTGCTGCTGGTTTTTGCCATGAATACGCGGGGCACGGGAAGGGCTCGGAAGGGGGTACACTGCAGAGAACGCAGGAGGGGTGGGAGGAGGTTGGCAATGCGTGAGCATATTTTTTCGGTGTAGGATTCGAGACACGGGGAGGGACTTGGGGTTGTGAAGCGGTGGTGTGTGCGAATTTCGCGCGCGAGGACTCGAGGCAAGGAGAGGGGATTGGGCGGGTGGATTGAGTGGATACGTGACGTAGTTGTCTAGGCCACGTAAAGGAGAGAGGAGGGTGATAGGTGCAAAGCAGGGAAGCAAGACACAGGGTGGAATGCACCAGGCGGGCCGGTGCGATAATGTGTTTCTACACTTTTTCTGATGTAGCAAGATCGCAAGGAATCACAGTAGCTAACCCTGTGACATACTGGCCTTCGAAGTTCGGGAAGTTAATTGTGCAGCTGTGTGGTATGTCAGTTGTACATGTCGACTTCAGTGACGCGACAAATGGAAAATTGTTGGTCCACAAAAAAAAGGCCGCACTAGAGGAGTTAAATTTGAAATCTTTTGGTCACACACGAGTAGGCAACATTCCCCGAAAGTTGTAACTTTCTAGCTTTTCTCGTTCCCGGATCAGTAATTTTTGCGCCAAAATTTCCACGCGCTCGTCGCGAGCCCGGGCGCTTTTAAACATCTGATTTTGCTCGTACACGAGTAGGGAATATTGCCGTAAAGTTTCAACTTTCTAGCTTTTTTCATTCTCGAGTTATAGATTTTCCGGCCATAATTTTCACGTGCCCATGCGTAAGCCCCGGGCAGTCCTGGGCAGCTGAATTTCAAATCTTTTTGTCATACGCAAGGGAACATTCCCCTATGGTTTCAGTTTTCTAGCTTTTCTCGTTCCGGAGTTACCAGTTTTCGCGCTGAAACTTTCACGTGCTCGTACGCGGGGCCTAGACGTGCATGAAAGTTGATACCGCGGTCCTGGGGTGGCATTTGGCTGGGGAACACACTGGCAAAATTTCAGCTTCAGAGCTTGCATGGTTGGAGAGTTGCAATACCCGCACGGACGAACACACGCACACACACATACACACACACACACTGACAGGGTCGTTGCAGTATGCGTTTTTGCTGCCTGTTGCAGCGCTCTAGCGCTGCACTGCAAAAACGCATAAAAAACGAAAAAGCTAGAAAGAAAGAAGAAGCAAGAAAAAAAAAGCGAAAACTCCTTATCAGCAAAGGATTTCCCGATCAATAGAGCTGATGCCTAGGTAAAGCTAAAAGCGAATAAGGTGAAGCTGCTAAAGTAAAACTGGGGGCTCTCAGCTTTACAAACATCAGATTCATAAATGAGTTTGTTCCCCTCCTCTATCCTATTCCCAAACCGTGCCTGCAAAGCGACATCTGGGCGCCCATTGCTCACCACTCCCGGCTACTGTCACCACTAAACGTTCCGTACTCCTCACCAGTCCTTTTGATCCGTGCTGCCGGAGCTGCATCTGGCTACTCACCCACCACTCGGAATTTATTTGGAATAAGCTAAATCCGGAACTCTCGTCTACCTTCTTTGATTTTTATTAAGCGCTGACACCTTCGTTTGCAAGTATGTCAATGTTCGGGATTTTTTTTTTCAAGTGAGATATTGGAGTGACTTGTACGGTAATCGGACGGCTTTTACTCACTCCAAAACCTGATAATAATAAAAAAAAAAGAATCCGGGACATCATACTTGCGTACGATTATGATTTTTTGCAACTCCTTAATCAGTCTCGAAAGCGACTGCATCGTTCGCGATCAGAACAAGTTTTATTAACTGTTCTGAAAAGGTTATTTTGATGAAAAACACAACCATGCAAACGGAAGTATAGGAATTGCGATTCCGAGTTCAGATGCATTTCTTGGGTTGAAGGGGATTAAACGTTCACACAGAAAATAGATGCAGTGGAGTAAGCAAGGATGGGGCGTATACTGGTCAAGCAGACAGTCGATAAGGGGATGATGGCTGGACGAACAGACTGTTGGGGGTTTGGAGTTCAGGGCTAGCCTGGCCGACCAACGCGTATGAGTGACTTGGAGGCATTTGGGACACTGCCGCCAGTGATGTCGCTGACAGAAATGCTTTTGAGTTTTAAATGTATGAGTCGAAAAAACTTAGCGTAGTGAAATGTTTTTGTGAAATTTAGCTGCTTTAAGGCAGCGAATCCAGCAGATTCTTAGGTGTTTCGATGCTTTAACCAGCTACCATTGCGCAACGCCTTTCCTTGTACTGATGCAGTTGCTGGCGTTCCTATTAACCTTTGCTTTTGATGTATCGCATTCCAAGTTACGTTCTGCAAATATTCGCTGAAGGATAGCGGCCTTCCAGGAGTTCGCTTGATTGCGTAAGCACCATTTAGCTGTCGTCTTCTGGTTAGAATGAAAATTTTCGACAGTAAAAAATTTTTTTGAGAAATCGCGAAAGTAGTTCAAATGAAGTCATAGATCACGTTAGCTCGGCTCCGTACTTCCGTATATTTCGTGGAAGTTGGGCTAAAAGTCTTTTCGATCTGCTTGGAATTCAATGCATGCAAATAAACTTGTCTGGAAAGAGGAGAGGAAAGGTAACTGGGAAAACACAAACTTGATAAAAGGCAGTGAGCAAACGGAGGCGCAGTATTCACTGGCTTGCGTTTTTTCGTATAAATTATCCAGAAAAGCTCTACAACATCTTGAGATGTGCAAAGTCAGCAAAATGATGTTCGATTTATAAGCAACTTGTAATAATCAAAACGGTGAATTTAAGACATTGTTCAGGTTGGTTCCAGTGCTTGTGACTCAAAAAATTCATAATTTTGCATGAGTTCTTGCAGAAGCTGTACATGTTTTGATGCGTACGTAATGGCATGAAGGATGGGCAGAAATGGAATTATTATGTAATGATTCTCTGGTAAGGCATCCATTTTGGTCGAGTTGTGACTCAATTCATCGCTTGAACCTGCAAAATACTCTCAAGAAGCAAAAATTCAAAAGCAGCACATTATTATTTATGCCATACAGCAATATGGAAAACATCCCCCCTACTGCTTATGGTCCCTCAAAACGTAACCGGCACAACTAATCAATCCTGAAAAACTTCAGAATAATAGTGACCTTATTATGCTATGGCAAAATTCATAAAAAGAGCCTCAGTCCATCTTTTAATGTACCAGTAAAATCGTTCATAAAATAATATCAAATTGGACTGTATATGGCCGTTTTACTTCGAATGAAATAACGTTGAGGTGTCACTTCTTCAGTATGACAGACTCACAAGTGCTAGGCCCCACAGCATAGTATACAATTGCGCTGAAGTAATACCAGGACAAAACAAGAAAGGGTTACACACCCATATTTTTTGTGCAGTACTTAAAACGATAATGACGATTAGAACTGACGACAACGTAAACCTTCGACTTGTGTGAGATCTTCTGGCGAATATGCGTCAAATGAAACTGGTTTTACGATCGTTGGTAGCAACTCAACTTTAACTTTCTCGTTCAGTTCTCCCTGATCTTTTAAGGAACATGCGATATCCTGACCACAGTAACAGTACGATCCAATCTAAACTAAAATTGTCACTGCTAGCCGGCTCATACTAAAGTCGACGTGCAAAATGGCTATTTGCCAAAGGCACACCTAGCAGTGTGATAGAAACGCGCACCTCTTCCGCATTTAATTAAAGGATTTCAAAATTGTAAGAATGGGAAAAAGGCAAAGAATCTGGACGCACCAGTGGACTGCCACGGGGCACTGATGCCATCGACGAGGTGCTACGTAGCTGTGGCGGATAGTTGGCCGAAATGGAGGAAGCTGAATCCAAGAATTTAAAAAAATATTCGGAGAAGGAGTGGGCTTCCTCGCAAGAAATGATCAAGTTTATCTAGCCGAGCTAAATTCCGGCAAACTTTTTTTGCATCCATTAAGCAACAACCACAGAATCTGCCTAAACACTAGCAGCAAAGAGTTAGTTTTTCTCAAAAATCTTAGCTGAATGCTTAGTTTTTTTTTTTTTTTTTTTTTTTTT